GCTTAAATTTTATTGAATTCACTAACCTTTTGACGTCTAACGCTGAGACATTCGACGTTTTATATCCTTTTACGTCAAATTATAATTCTAAACAACGTTTAATAATTGCATTTATTTACAAAAATGTCACCGGTCATTTTTAACGTTAGTTATTTAATGGTTGGACGTTGAACGCGTGACGATATACGCTATTTTTTTACTTGTGAATACTGTTTCTTAATCTTGGAGATAAAAAGTTATCTGTGATGGATATTAAAGCTAAAAATTCGTCAAACTACTTCATTTAGCAATAAATATATATAATCATAGCATTTCTTTATTTCATCAACAATAATGTTCTGTACACTTTGTTTCATTATTTGTAATTTTCATTATGGCTTAATCAGGACTTTTATTGACATATTCAAATAAATGCTTGATTGAATTTGCTTTGTTGCAATATTTTGTAACATAAGCTTGATACCTCGTCAACAAAAGATGACTATAAGGCATAACATTTGCATTACTTAATTTATGTCCACTTTTCTCAACACATAAGCCATCGTTTTTAAGTCTATATAATGAATATCTATCTTCATCAATTGTAGCAGAAGATCTAAATTTCTCAGGAAAATATTTCCAACACCAATTTTCCTTCATGCGTGGTGAGTTGTATCTAATAGCTCTGCATGAACGTGTATATATGTCTGAACAGCCTTTGAATATTTTAGATATATAAATCTTGATTTCAAAGTTGAACAGAAATGACTTTATTTATGTTTTTTGCATTTAACTTTTTTTTATCACTATAATTAATTCAAATAATAATACTATTATTGATTTTAATATTCTTACAAATATCAACAAAAACTAATAACAATAGTAATAATACTACAAATGATAATAATAATACAAATAATAATAATAATGCTACAAAATTTACTATTACTATTACTGTTAATACTACTAATAATAATAATAACATTAATAAATCTAACTATAAAAATGTCAATAATACCAAAATACAAATAACAATAATAATTTTTGTACTATTACTAGTACTAATAATTATTATAAAAATAATAACATATAGCAACCACAGTAATAACACTAATTTTATTAATTATAATAATAATAATAATATATAATAATAATAATCGGACTTAAATCTTGTAATACTCATTATACAATAATTCAGGAAAAAAAATATATCACATGAATCCAATTCCATAATTAGAAAAGACTGAACATATGTAGAGATCATCAATGCACCATGGAACATAGACAACGACACACTCAGTTCAAAGTTCATCATTAACGACCAAACATATTGACGTTTATTAATGATCTGTTTGCAACTAATATATAAAATTACTTCAAAAGGAGACAACATATTATGACTTACTAAAAGACTATTTAGCTTAAAAATACACCGAGACAGCTAAGCTCTAGACCAATTCCAGTTTACACATGTCATTAAGTCATTAAGCAACGAAACAAGAGCAAATGTATTAACTAATCCTAGTTTTAAGCTTGCAGACTAAGTACCATTAACTTTAACCTTGCTTATAGTCTAATCAACATGCATATACCATTAATCAGATAGCAATTTAACCAAAACACACAACATAAAATCAGCTCAATAAAATAACCATAATGTCACTAGTACAGTCATGGAAAACGACAGCGGTTATTTTTGTATATAGACAACGGTTCCTGAACCGAGGCATATTCAGGCGAGATAAAAAGTCTAACACTTTTGGTTTCGGTTGTGAACCGAGGCATAAACTCCAACCCTACTGCCTCGGTTCATCTCCAACCGAAGCATAAACGTTTAACGTTTTTTAATTTATTTTTTTCGTAGCACATTAGGCCTCGGTTCTTCGTAACCGAGGCATAAAGTACCACTTTACTGCCTCGGTTGTGGCCCAAACCGAGGCAGTAGATTCATTTTTTTTTCTCCTCCGCTACACATTCTGCTTCGGGTTTGACCATAACCGAGGCCTTAAGGGGTCTTTCGACATCGATTTTGACCAGAACCGAGGCATATAAGTACGATTTTTTTTTAAAATGGTGTCTGTTTTTGCAACATTCCCAACCACAAAAACAGACCTGCATATTTTTTTATAACCAGAGCAGTCCAGAATGTTGCAGAAACATATATTTTAAATGAAATCTATATTAAAACATAAATATATTGAATGAAATCATAAATCAAATTCTTAGAAGCATAAATCAATCCAATGTAATCATAAATCAAGGGACCAAGCATAAATCAATGCAATGTACATGTTGAACATATAGTAATGTAGAAAAACATAAAACAACTTAGAAACATAAACTTAAAATTAGTATATCCTAAAATCTACTACATACTATTATATAAATGAATTACATATTTAGCAAGTGTTTTCCTCACAAGTTGGATTGACTTGTCTGGAATTGAAGCAGTCCTATTAAATCTCTGCATAAAGTACAATGATTTCAATTAGTGTATATGAAATTCAAATATAGAGAACATAAAATTCAAACCTAAATATTACCATTTCCCATCCACTGGTGTAATGTGCACGTATGATGATCATCATCCAAAACATAACGTAGTAACCACACTTGACGTTGTTCCAAGTTTGGGTCCCATTTCGTGAATCGTCAGCTTCCACCACCCAACGTACACGCCAACAACAACATCCACAACAGAGATACTACCACCACTGTTTCGATACAATAAGAAATAAGCCAAGCATAGATCGAAAATCTGGTGCATTAATTACAGAATCACTAATTCCTTTCTTCATTCAAACAGGGGAAAATTAATTCCAATCAAGGGAAAAAATCAGGGAAAAAAACCAATATCAATAGCCACAGACATTCTTTTCTTCATTCAAACAGATATCAATCACCACAGACAAATGCAATTGTAAAGAACTTACCGTGGCGGCAAACAACGACAGCAAAAGTAGTGGAGCGACGGTGGTGAGGCGGGAACGATGGCAGAAGCAACGCTTGGAGAGAATACTCCTACTGTTCGCGAGAGAAATAGAGCCACCCAACCTAGAAGGCGCTTCGCCGGAGACAATGGAGATGAAGGAGCGGGTCGAACTGTAGCGGCACGGCGATGGATGCACGGAGAAGACGACAAAGGCCACTCGCGACAAAAATCGAACCCGAGGTTCGCCTTGCAGCACTTCGCTTTTCGTCTTTGGTCGGAGAGAAATGGCAACCGCAACCGAGGTTTGCGCTGGCTAAACAGAGAGAAGGGCTGGTGGAAGAGAAACTCTGAAACGAGGGTGGAAGACAAAGCACTGTAACTGGCGTTTGTAAAAATAAAGAAAAGGTTATTACCTCGGTTTAAAACCGATGCCGTATTCCAGCTACAAAAGCGGTTCTGCACAAAACCGATGCCTAAACATCTTTAAAAAAATTCAAAATAATTGTATATGCCTCGGTTTCATTCAAAACCGAGGTCGTATCGTATGTCCGCACCGGCTCTAAACTAACCGGCTCCATGCTTTAGACACCGGTTCTGCAAAGGACCGAGGCGGAATCCCTTGGTCTGTCTGACTTCCTGACAGCAGCAGAGATCAGCAGAGATAGCAGGTGAGTTGCAGAGGGTTTTATGCCTCGGTTTCTTTGATAACCGAGGTAGTATCGGGTATAGGCACCGGGTCTTCCGAAACCGAGGCATATCAGCCGCGTTCTAATACTACTTTTTTACTAGTGTGTGCTACAATAACCAATAAACAATACAATTACGGAATGGTAGGCCTTGCGTTCCAATACAAAGAAGGCCTTGGGTTCACTCCCATTAAAACATAACATAATAATTTAATATTATTTGATACTATAACTATTTTTTATTTTTTGTAATATTATTATTATGATTAGTATATATTTTTATTTTACTGTAACATTATTATTCTTTTATAATTTTGGATTTGAAAGTAGGCCAGTTCAACTTAGTAGTAAGAGGGGTAGAAATAAAAAAAAAAGCTAAAACCCTAACGTCTGAAACTTAGACAACAGAAAGGAAATGGGAGCAGTGAGATTACAGAGTGTAGACGAGAATCAAAATCACAAAATGGAGCGGAGCTGAGAAGAAGCGACGTGATAGGAAAACGCAACAATCAGTGTCGTTTCAGCTCGCTGAATCGCTGCTAAACCCACGGTTTTACACGAGTTTGACCGAGTTTGTTCGAGTTTGCAGGAGTCTACAAAAAACTATTCTGCACTTAACTAGGTTCGTGATCTTGATAATGACGGCCAGTATTGATTTTGTTTTAGATTATTGAAAAATGAACTGGATAAAGTTTTCTAATCATCAATTATGTCAGTGGTTGTTGTAAACTTAAAACTGGTGTATATAAACAGGACAAGAAAAATAAATATGCAATGCAAGTGTGTTCTGAAATGTGAATTTTTATGTGCTAGTTTGACGTAACAGTTCATATAAATTTGGTATTGTGTTTTTTTTTTTGGGGACATCAGGTTGATGTAGCTGAAGCCTCTTTGAATTTTCCAATTAAGCATTTGTTTCACTGTGTCAATGAGAGGCAATATTGGAATAAGGATCCCAAACCCCACTATTTCAAATGCCACCAGAAGAACGGTAGCTGCATTTTCTTCATCTTCTGGTTTTGGAGATGGCGGTCGTGGTCGTGGTCGTGGAGGCTCCTTCCTTGGTTCAGGACCGTTCAATTTGAATGAAAGAGCTCCTGGTAAGCCTAGTTCCAGTGAGCCCAAATCTGACACCACAGAGTCTCCCATTCCTCCTGGTTTTGGCCATGGCCATGGCCGGGGCAAGCCAATGCCTCAGTCAGGTCTTCATTCTTTCTCATCGTTTTTATCTTCCATAAATCAGCCACCTGCTGGTCGTGGCCGAGCTACTGTACCTCAACCTCCAAATGATTTGGGGCCACCAGAACCCAAAAAGCCCATTTTTTTCAGAAGAGAGGACAGTGTATCTCCAGCAGCGACAGATGGTGTTCCTGTTGATGTTGAGCATGTTAACAAACTTCCAGGTAGCGTACTAGAAGTGTTGTCTGGATTTGGACGGGGGAAGCCCATGAAGCAGCCAGATCCGGAAACGCGAGCTACAGAAGACAACAGGCATCTTCGCCCTCCGCGAGCTCCTGGTGCAGCTGCATCCGACACTTTGCCTGTGAAACAACCAATACCAAGCCGGGATGATGCAGTGAGGAATGCACGGAGATTTTTGTTAAGAGGTGACGACGATGGAAGTGGCCCTGGAAGAGGAAGAGAATTTAGAGGGAGAGGTGGGCTTGGCAGGGGCAGGGGCAGAGGCAGAGGTCGAGGCATGGGAAGAGGAGGATTCAGAGGGAGGGACGTGGATGAAAGACGTGGAAAACAAATGGATGCAGAGGATTCATATGCTACAGGGCTATATGTTGGAGATGATGCAGATGGTGAGAAATTAGCCAAAAAGTTTGGGCCAGAGATAATGAATCAGTTAACTGAAGGATTTGAGGAGATGGCTTGTAGAGTTTTGCCATCGCCATTAGAGGATGCGTATTTGGATGCGGTAGACATCAATTATGCAGTAAGTGGTTTCTACAGACATCATTATTTATTTGTTGAGAAATAATTAGAGGTAGCGGAAGTATAATTTTGTAGCTTAGCTGCATATAGGGAAATTCTCCAGTCTTAATTGAATTGCTATAGGAAACTCATTATAATCATCCAATTCTCTAGATCTAAAGACAACATTTCTTTCGGGGAAGTTTTGTGAGCCAAACTCCTATTTTATGTTTAGTTACCCTGTTTCCATGTTTAATTGTTTGTATTTTTTTCGCCTTCTTTATTGATTATTGCAGATTGAATTTGAGCCGGAATATTTGGTGGAGTTTGATAATCCAGATATTGATGAGAAGGAACCAATTCCACTTCGGGATGCACTTGAGAAGATGAAACCATTCTTGATGGCATATGAGGGGATCCAAAGTCAGGAAGAGTGGGAGGTATATTTTGTTGTTAATCTTATCCATTATCCTTGCCTTATGCCTTAGGATTCTAACCGTAACACTAATTGCAAATGTTTCGGGGCACAAGTTTTGATACTGATGTTTGATGTTTTTTTTTTTTAACTTTTAATTCATCACTATCTTCTTCAACAGTAATTTTGTGGCTTGGTTGCCACTATCTTTGTCATATCAAACCTGTGTAGCAATTACATAGAACAAGTACCGTATCAGTTACTATGTTTCGAAATAGTTGTCTATTTTATAGATGCTAGCGGGTAAAGGATGTTGTTTTTAGTGTTCTCTACTGCAGTTTATGGGTGTGTGTCCATGTGTTGGGATCTTTTTCTTTTCTAACTTTGTATCATACTAGGAAATAATGGAAGAGACAATGGCACGAGTTCCATTGTTGAAAAAGATTGTTGATCACTACAGCGGACCAGACAGGGTAACTGCAAAGAAGCAACAAGAAGAATTAGAAAGAGTTGCTAAAACTCTTCCTGAAAGTGCACCTTCTTCAGTGAAACAATTCACTAACCGTGCTGTTGTCTCCCTTCAGGTTTGGAACTAAATATTGATATTGTGTTGGGTGTAAAATGTCTTAATACTTGGCTACTTGTTTACCTCTTATGTTGATATTCTTATTATAAGTATCTCTGCGGATTATGTTCTACTTTCTCTCGTGTAAGTCAGCGGTAAATGAACCCTTTTCTTAGTATAGTTATCTTGTAATTTTATATCAGAAGAGAAACTGTTTCTCAACAGTTGCATAATCAATTGAAATTCCAACAAATATTTGCCATTTTGTCTATGAATCCCAATCTAATTCTAATTGATAATATAAAGCCCAAATGTATGTATTTGATTTTGTACCAAGGCTGAACAGTTGATATTGACAAGGCATGGATAGGAAAATCAATTCTCTGCCTAAAGCTTAATATTTGTTTAAATCTATTGAAAGATATTGGCAAGGAATGCACGAAGATTGTTAGGTATTGGAGTTGACTTTGGTGGAATGAGATAGACATTTACTGTATGATTAGAAATCCGAGGGGTTCCCAAACTTTAGTTCCCCATATTAAAGTGAATTGTGGCATTGTACATTAAAGAGTTGATTCAGAACCTTTCTATTTCATGATTGTATGAAGTTTGCATCTGTTTTGGTAATCAATTTATTATGGCTGTAGTCACAAATGTTGCTGGCGTTGCACTAATCTGAATCGGGAAAGGAGACTATATCTAATATCGAATCTTAATGTGTTGAGTTTCCTGAGTCTGGCATTAATTTACTTGTCCTGAGATTGATTTACAATCCTTCTTTGTCTTTTTTATCCTTTCATGAATTCAGATATATATATATATATATATATATATATATATATATATATATATATATTATCTTCAATTATATATATATATATTATCTTCAATTAAGTTCTTTTTGAGTTTTTATTGCCTTTTATTTCAATTAAATATGAGAGTTGCTGTTGAGAAAGCTACTGGAAGGAATATTCTGCACATTATTTATGGTTGGTCTGAAATATGATGCAGAGTAATCCAGGCTGGGGATTTGACAAGAAATGTCATTTCATGGATAAGCTGGTTTGGGAAGCGTCTCGGCATTACAAGTAACTTACTTTTTCTTTCAAGCTTAAACATGGTGGGTTTTGTGTGGTATACTGCCATGACTCTTGTAATAATATTAATTATAATTATCTTTTAGTGTTGTTGCTAACAATTTTTACACCTTTTTATACTTTGTAATAAATGGATTATCATTTTTATTCGACTTTCCAAAAGTGTAAGATGTGGGATCATAATATTGATGATTGGGAAATTAGTGGATATAAAATAGTAATTTCACAATTAGTTGTATATATGTATGACTTTTTCAGAATTTTAATTGTTTTATGAATTACTGATTTATTACTGGGTGTGTTTTGCACATCTATAATATATAAATGTGGGATCATAATATTGATGATTGGGAAAATAGTGGTTATAATTTAATAATTTCACAATTAGTTTTATATATGTATGACTTTTTCAGAATTTTATTATTTTTATGAATGAATGATTCATTGCTGGGTGTGTTTTGCATAGCTATAATATATATACTCAGTTTTTTTTTCATTGTATGTAAACATGGATCGTAATGGATAGTTAAAAAAAATTAAAAGTTAGTACAGAGTTTCAAAACAATAAGGACTAAAAACTATCAAAGTTCTGAGTAGGGACTAAAACCAAAATCGCTTGATAGTTCAAGGACTAAAAACATATTTAACCCATATTACAAATTAATCTCAAATATAATATATTGCACCCATTTACATATCCAAAAATTATGGGACTCCCTGATTCTATATTTGAGCTTCAAATTTTGCAAGTGTTGGACCATGTTGGATGCCTAGAATTGGAAGCATTACCCAAAGGATTAAGAAAATTGATTATAGTCTCCGAGATTTTGTCATAACAAGAAAGCAAGTTGTTTTGCCTTAGAATGACATTACAAACTTCAACTCTCCAGTATTTGACTATTCAATGTTGTGATAATGTGAAGCCTTTATTCTGAGGGGTAGAACTTCCTTATCTAAAAGCATTGAGTGTTAGTAGCTACAAAAGACTCAGTAAGCATTTTCTTGCATTAGAGACGTTCTGTATTGGGATTTGTGGCAAATTGGAATTGTCCAAGAAGCATCATGAACACCACAAGTTCATCTTAAAATTAAAACAATATTATTTTCTTCACTGTCACAGCTAGGGACACTGCCTCGTTTGGCTTTAAAGATATATTAACACACTGTTATCCTAAGGAGATTATTTTGCACAAATTATAAAAAATCTCACAATGATTTAAAATATTCTCTTAAATGACTAAATGACAATAGTTATGAGAGTTTTAATTCTTTTTTTAAGAGGTTTATACTTTTTATATGATAGAATATTTTTTTTATTTTTTATTTCATTTTTTTACCATCTTTTCTCTAAGATTTTACCCTAATTTTTTTTCTCCAATACCAAAAACATCTATACTAAACAATACCCCTAAAACTTTCAACCATTTTTTGTCTTCCAAATTTTTACTCCCTTCCTTCCCTCTTAAATTTGCACTCTTTTATCCTTCTCGAAACTTCTTAAACGTCTCATCCTTTCTTCCTTTCTTTTTTCATTCTTCTATTTCGCTCTCTACGAGTTTTAGTTTTGAATTGGAGTTTCCCTAAGAGTAGCCATGGAAGTCTTCACATCCTATGCAACTTTGGCGGCAAATGGACAAGCAAAACAACATTTTGGCGACATCAGAGTCCTTCGCGACTCCTCCCTCCTTGAACGCCATCGAAAGCTTGTCCAAGTCGCTCTCGGCTGTTGACTCTTCTGGTGACGTTAGGTCCTTTTACTCTCCTGTTATTATATAGTTTGCTTGAAATTAATGGTTAGTTTTTGATATGCTATTTTTTTTTGAAGAATGTGGGTGCATGAAGATGTAATTATGGAACTTGCATATAACAGTTTGTCTCAATTAATCATCTTATTGTTTTAGTTCTCAAGGGTATAGTGTAATGTTTCTCTTTCTAAAGATATGGCATGTTTTCAAGGTTAATGATGCTTCAAAAACCAACCGTTTGATCGAGGTAGTGAAATCAGATAACAAATTGATGAATGAAGTTAGTAAACAGAAGAAGAAGCATTTGCATAGGAAAGTAAACCCAAAAAAAAACCCTAATACGAGGAGAGATAAGCAAGTGAAAGAAGGTTTTGAATAACAACACAGGAAAAGGAAAAAGAGAGAGTTAGGGTTTATTTATTAACTCAAAAAATGAAAAGAGAAGGGAAAATTAGGAGAAATAATGGTAAGATAGGTTATCTACGGATTACCTACGAACAAAAATATGTAGTAAAGTAGTCTTAGGTAATATTAATACGAATTTATTCGTAGGTATTACTACAAATTACATACAGATAAATCTATATGTAATTATCTACAAATAAATATGTATGTAATTATCTATGGATAAATTATGTAATTACCTACAGATAAATTTGTAAATTTGTATTTAACTTGTAGGCCAAAATCAGAAAGTTGAATCTGTTAGTAATACACAGAAAAGAGCTTTTGTAAACACAATAAAAAATGTATGATACAAAAGTAAAATATAAATGCAACAATTGAGAGTACAAATTCTCAACGACAACATTTGAAAGATATGTCTTTTATACAAAAATTGAAAATTACATGTTTGAACCTCAACTTAAAAAATTGACAATTACATTTTTTGCAATTCAAAAAACTCTCTATCTAACAATTTATTTGTTTCGGTTATGGGGCTATGTCACTGAATACCTTCACATTTGTCTTTTCTTGCTGTCCGGTCTTGCTCCCTGCGTCTCTTGTTTGCTCGTTCGGCCGGGGTGTACCTGTTAAGATACTCTGATGCCAAAGTTAGTAGTTGAACCATCCGATAATCCAATATGACATGACACTAATAAATGCAGAGTAATTTCTCTACTTACCTTTTACCTTTGATTTATATTTATAGTTTTTGGACACCGATATTTTAATCTCGGCCCAATATTCTTAAACGCATTTAGTTACCTTAATTCTTTACATTAATCATTTACGCTTATGAGGCGCTCGTCCTGCCGACGCCTTTGTCTGCTTTGCTAGCCGTCCGGTCATATGAAGTTTATGGACTGTGACGACTGTCCGATCATGTGGTACATTATCACTTGGAGAATTTGATAGGCAATTTATCATCCAGACTCAATTTCTTAAAGAATGAATCAAATTCTTCTAGTAGATTAAGGCTCAAATACAACCATGTCAATAGCTCGAGTTAAGTAAGCTCTTTAAGCACAACAAACACCAACAACCATAGGTTTGGGAGAAATGTGTTCTCTAGTCACACTTCATGTGCACAATATTTTGTACTTTCCACTCCCTGCATTCAACCTTCCAACCCTACCAACAATCACGCTCGAATCTGTGTATCCCGATCATCACCATTCATCACTTCATTAACTTTTTATTTCTAAAAGCTTAATTTTTATCGAAGTTCAACATGGGTGGAAAAGTAATTATCGGAAAAGTTGGATCCTGTAGAGCTATTGACAAACTAGAGTCTAGAAGCATCTACTTGCAAGTATAGCAGAATAGTAATTATTATATTTTCATGGGTGAAATGTGGACAAGTGTTTTCTTTTCTTTGTTGTAAGCTAGATCCTCATCAATCTATAAAACGAGGTCACTTACCTAACACGAGAAATATCGCAACTGTGCACCATCAGACACAAAAATCTAATTTTCTTTCACTTCCATACTTTGTAAAGTGTTCTGTATTGCCCTTCTTAACTCTTGAAAATTCCATGAAGTTTGAGGAATGAATCCCAACAGCAGAAGAATAGGCAGGACTAAGTAATCAAACCAGAAAATGAATGGCATGCACATTGTGGCTCGCGATGGCTTGTGAGCAAGTAAATAATGGCATGCACATAGAATCCTAACCCTACGGTTAAAGCTTCTTCAGAAATGAATGACATGGCCGATTTGATAAAAGAGAAAAACCAATAGCAAACCCTCTCTCTCACATGCCAATACCTACAAATGAACCTCCTTTTTAGATGGATATGTACTCAGGTACAATTTGGGTTCCAGGAAGGGCTGTGGAGGAGGCGCACAGTGAAGGTTAGTGTTTTTTAGGGTTTTAAGTGATGATCATTGTAGAGAAAACGTGCAGTGGAGGCCTGGGTTTCAAGGGAGGGCCAATGCGGAGAATGAGCATGGAGGTTAGGGTTTGAGGAAAGACCACGGAGGAAAAAACACAATGGATCTTAGGGTTCTAGGAGGGTTGAGGATGAGCGCCAGAAGAACGATTCTTCTTCTCTATGAGAATTTGAGTCATGATGGGAGAATTCTGATAAGTGAGTATATAATCCTTAATTTTGATTTTTAATATTTAATGATTTTCAAATCCATATAAAATTAAACATGTAATATCTTTTTACTTACATACGAATCTTGCACCATTACATCGTGATTCGTCCTTCACAATTTTTCCATGCACCAAATTAAATACAGATTTTACATATGAAAAATTGGTAGATAAAAATCCATAATTAACTCACTTTTAAAGTATGTATGTAAAATCGTATGTAAAGCTACGTTACTTACAAATTAAGATTCTTATGTAAATTCAATAACTTGCATTTTTCGTTGTAGTGACACCTTAAAAACTTTATTTATGCTCACTCCATGATATGATTATGTAAATGTTCTCTTATTAGTATTGGTAAAAGTTAAAATTAGATTGTTACCAAATAACTCATGACCTTCGGTAAAATTCTTATGGCCCACTAAATACAATTGTTTTCACACCTCGGGACTAGGTAATTGAAACTTCATTTGACTCTCACAATCTAATATTTTTCTTTGAGTTCAATAGTAATAAATTTAGGATATCTCGAATAAAATCTCAAACTCAATACATAATCTAAACATCTCAATATAATATTCTCTTATTGAAAATAACTATGTTTACAATCATTATATGAATCTCATCACATAAATAATAATCAATATTCATTTACATGTATAATTAAATTAAAATTTAAACCAATTAAAACAACAAACACAAAGAATAAAAACAAGTTGTGTTGAGTGAAAGTGTCTCGTTTGGTAAAAAAACAATCTTCTTTAGCACTCCTTATCCTCTCAAAACTTTTCAAAATCGTCATTCCCTTTCGTCCTTTTTTTGTTCGTTCTTCCATTTCACTTTTTACGAGTCTTTAGTTTCGAATTAGGGTTTCCCTATGAGTAGCCATGGGAGTCTTCACATCCTACGCAACTTTG